GCCCAAGGACACAACGACCGAGACTGTCCAAGCCGGGGCTCAAACCGGCAACCTTCCGATTACAAGGCGAACTCCCAACTCTTGAGCCACGATCGCCCTAAACAGTGCAGTAAACAAACCCTCAAGAAAAATATTTAATAGTGATGAAAAGGCGGAGAGATACGCAGATAATGAAACGAAAGTCTCCCGAAGGCTAAGACGAGGACATATGATGAAGCGTATGTAGCGCTTGTACAAAAGTACAAAGTTGCAAAAGCGAGTGAGAGTTAAAGAATTTGAAGAAAAGCTTTGTGGAGCAGTACAGACTGATATTCATCTTTAACAGGGCTGTCAAACAACAGAACTGCTGTATAATGTCCTCCGCTATCTTAGTTTAATTGGTCACATGACTGCATCACATGACTAAAATGTGTCATCGTTTTCACAAAGTCTCCGGTTTCGCTGTCCACACTGCAACGCAAAAGCACCGTTTTCAAATGTGTGCGTTTTTGAGAGCGTTTTCAAAACACGGCGTTTTCCTTGAGCGAAAACGCCGTCTCAGTGTGGACGGGAGGCCAAAACGGAGAGAAAAGATGCGTTTTCTAAAGAAAACTTATTATTGTGGACGTAGCCTGAGTTTAGGAATGTTGGCCGTGCGCAGCACGAAGCCAAATAAATTAACTTTACTTGAGTAGTTAATGCTGCTGATCGATTTAAATGAGCTCATAAAAGCATCTTTACTTTTCGTTTTAAAATGTTCGTGTAGATTAAGTTGCAGCTCAGCTGCTTCTTGTTGTTCAAGTTCAGTTCAGGAATCTAGATTACTTTGAGTAGGGATAGTGTATCTTGAAATCATTGTAATCTCTTCCACTTTGTGTAACTCACCAGATTCAAATTAGAAAATTTCCAAGTTGATGACAAATTTATTTTAATTTGTAGCATTGTTCCTAAACTTGTTACGGTGCTTGACCGGCAGAAACGGCAGATTCATTGTCTTTTTGACATCGACTTCATCATGCTTTTTTTTTTCCAGAGTTTTTGAGGCACCATAGTACACATGACATATACATACAACATGTATCCACACTACACAGAGTGAAATAAGAAGCATCCAAAATATAGACTACAAAGGCTCTGTGCTAGTCTATATGTTTTTACAAGGTTTTAGAGGCTTTAATATGCTACATACAACAGTATTAGTATGTTTTGCTTATTATTTTCTCTGTGCCTCAGATGTCATCAATTTCAGAGTCAGAGTGGAAAAAAGCCCTGACCTTCATCATTGAGGATTTGGATAAGTCACAGCTCAAAAAGATGCTGGGATGTCTGGATATCACCAAACAGAAGAAGACTACCAAGTGCAGAGAAACCATTCCTCAGACAATCATCGAGTGCTACGGAGTGGAAACGTCTATCCAGATAATCAATGAAGCAATGCTCTGGATACCAAGGAAGGATGAAGCAGTCCAGGGCCAGCTGCGCCCCTTTGTTGAAAAATTGAAGAACAAAGAAAACGAGGGGGAAAAAGGTGAGTTCACTCATTGATATTTCTTTTTTTTTTTTGGTCAGGTATCTACAGGTTTTCCAAAGAATCTCATGTGTAATAGAATAAATCATGTTTAAATATATTCAAATTTGAATCTAACGTTTTATTATAATTGTCTTTATTACTTTGTCCTACCAAACTATTCATTGTAAAGCAGCAATTGAACAAATTCCAAATTAGCAGGAGTGGATCGAGCATTTGTGGAAGTTTTTGTGTTATTCTGGTCAAAAGTAGTAAAGCATAGTACAAAAAGCAATTGGAGTTAAAAAGAAATCGTGGATCGTTACGTGGAGAAACCTTTGGAATGCAAGCATGCTGATCCACACAGGTGTGCACACAGGTGTACACACAGGTATTCACAGACGCGGACTACAGCTTTCTTGGCTGCTGCCTCAAAGCACATTGTGCGCTGTCTATCTTGCGTGCTGCACAATATCGTTTATTATTTAGTATCTACTGATATCTACTGCTAGCTAGTTTATTGTGATGGTGCCGTTTTTATTATGTTGCTCTTTGTTGTTTGTTTTCTCTTCTGTTTTTTTTCTCCATACAGGTGACCCAGGTGTTTTTCTTTCTTTCTTCCCCCCCTTCTCACCGTCTCTTCTCCCCTTTGGTTTTCTCTCTCTCCCTCTCTTTCTTTCATTCTTTCTCCCTGTCCTATCCCCCAGTCATGTCTGTCCCGTTTGTAGCAACTGAAAATAAAATAAATAATTATAATAAAGGTCAATCAAATGGACCAATATGGCAAGGCCATGATGATCCACTTGGTAAAATAAATCCGCTTGGCATCTTTCTTGGCCTTAAGACAACAATTCTGATGCTAAAGATCCAAACGGGACACAAAAAAGAAAGAAATTGTGGAATCAATTCATAGAATAAAATCTATTCTAAACTTCTGACTCATCAGAGTAGCCGCCTTTGGCAGATATAACAGCTGAACACAGCCGTGGCTTCTTTCTACAATAGAAATCAAATCTTCTCCCATATCTGTTACAGGAGTTCATAAATGTGCGGCACTTGTAGGTTGCGTTGCTTTCACTCTCCTGTCTAGTTCATCCCAAACCGCACAGTGGCAAAAGCAGAATTTTTAAAAAATATATTTATATGTATGTATAAAAAAATTCCCTCTCGCCCCTGCGGGCGGTCAATCCTTCAAGCTCGGGTCCTCTACCAGAGGCCTGGGAGCTTGAGGGTCCTGCGCAGTATCTTAGCTGTTCCCAGGACTGCGCTCTTCTGGACAGAGATCTCCGATGTTGTTCCCGGGATCTGCTGGAGTCATGTCACTCTCACTCAGACTCTGGGACCACAGTGTTGTTCCTGTGCAGCAGTTTTCCTTGTTGCTGGCTTTCAAAAATTAAAAGTGGGTCTGAGTGGGACCGCTTCTTTGTGGATCTTTGGAAGTCCATATATACGGGGTGTAACCTCTCTCCTTGTAGTTGCTGAAGGCAGATAATGACTTTCGTTGGTAAGATATTCTTACCAAAGTGCTTAAATTATGTATTATTTATAAAGCTGCTGCAGATGCAGAGTTACATGTGAACAGACTGAACAGTAATCACTGCTAGTGTTTTTACGTTTGCTCTGTGTAGGTATGAAAGAAACAGACTTTATGTTGACTGACTCTTCAGTGAAAACCTGACACACACATGCTCTCACAAGTGGGATTCATTTCTGTTTCAGGAAACAAGAGGAAACGCAGTGAAACTGAATCGGAGTCAGCAGAGAAAACAGCTGAAGCTGGTAGGCAAACACACCCTGAAACTGTGGCAGAGCTACTGAGCTGTGGCCACAATCATGAGAATAAATATTTTATTTGATGTAAGTCTGATGTTGAGCTGTGTGTGTTCAGGCTTTAAGAAGAACAACATTGTGAGTGATTCAAGTTCAGATGAAGAGCGAGAGGCTGAAACTGGTAAGTGCTGGAGGAAACAGTGCTGCTGGATTTTAGTGCTGCTTTCCATCTCAAGAGCTAACTATCCAACACACAGTGATGTCATTTGTTTAAAATGCTCAGTATAAATTTTTTAGATCCATTTCAATTCAGTTTATTTATACAGCACCAAATCACAATGAGTTGTATCAAAGGACTTTATATTGTAGTGTAAAGGCCCTACAATAATACAGAGAAAACCCCAACAAACTCTATGAGCAAGTGGTTGGCAATAGTGGGAAGGAAAAACTCCTGGCTAAGGGGGGGAGGGCATCTGCTGAGACCAGTTTGGCTGAGGGGGGAGATTGAGAAACAACACGCTGTGGATGAGGCCGGAGATTAATAAGAACTAATAGTTAAATGCAGAGAGGTCTGTTAACACATAGTGAGTGAAGGAAAAACTCAACGCATCATGGGAATCCCCGGCAGCCTACGTCTATTGCAGCATAACTAAGGGAGGATTCAGGGTCACCTGGTCCAGCCCTAACTATATGCTTTAGCAAAAAGGAAAGTTTGAAGCCTAATCTTGAAAGTAGAGATAGTGTCTGTCTCCTGAATCCAAACTGGAAGCTGGTTCCACAGAAGAGGGGCCTGAAAACTGAAGGCTCTGCCTCCCATTCTACTTTTACTGGTACAGAAACCGGTACAAACAGGCTGCAGCCTGACTGTTACCTGTTAAAGTTCGGCTCTGGCTGCTGGACTGGAGTCTGCATACGCTCACCTTTGACATGACTCTGGGTGTTTGACTAGCTTAGCATTAGCACGCTGTCTGTGCTTGTAAAGAGCTGGCGTTCTGTTAGCAGCATCACGCAGCTGTTTCTGTCCTGGATGCATTTTACACTTTACCTTTGTGCTTTTGTCATTTTACTTTCTTTTACAGATGGACTGAAGAGCCCTCAGCCTGACAAGGTAGAAGTTAATGTAATACTGCATGTCACAGTACACCAAGTTTTACATAATTTTATTAACTTGTGGACATTTATGCTTTCTGTATGATAGAAGTAATTACACCAAAGAGATCAGCTCTGTGGGCTGGTAGGGATTTGATTCCCACATAACTGTTTGCACATTTCTGAAAACAGTTTCTTGAACATTTACAATATTCAGTCTATGAGTGACTTACTGTTTAACTCTTTCTTTTCAGGAGATAAAAATCCCTTCATGGGTGAGTGAATTTTTGAGTTTTCATTGGATGATCACAGCGTCTGACTTGTTTTGTGATGTAAGTTTGTCTGCGAGCTGACTCTCCATCTGCCTGCAGAGGAAATCCATCCATGATGTAAAGACCAGCAGTGACCTTGGAAATAAAGTCATAGCTGGCAAAGTTGTGGCGAAATCTGGTCTGCGTACATACGAAACCAAAAAAAAGGAGAAGAAGTTTTTCTTTTACCTGGGAGTGGCTGATGAAACAGGCAGCATTAAAGTGATGGTGTATGGAAGAGAGCGCTATCAGCGTTTCCAGGAGAAGAGCTGCTACCTGTTCAGAGAGATCATCATGGACGAAAATGTCATGAAAGTGACCAAAAAGAGCGTCATATCAAAGACAGCAGCTATCGATGTTCCTGAGAACCTGGAGATGGAAGCTCAGATGTTCGTTTATTCCCAGACTCCAGTTTGCTCCATCGGACAGGCCATCGGATCAGCGGAGAAGACATCAGTGAGTGTTGAAGGAACAGTAAGAGAGGTAAGTGTGACCTGAATCTGCTGCAGTGAAGCTGTGAGGGCGCTCGTCATGTTTAGCTTAGTGTCCTGCTGAAGGCTGTGAGACTCTGATGACATCAACCTTTAAACTAACCTTTAATAGTCTTTGAGTGAAATGGATGGAGGTAGGACTGGGAGATATGACCCAAAATTCATATCTCGATATTCTTTAGCTGGATGGCGATATACGATATATCTCGATCTTCTTTTTTTTTAAAGCCATAAAGTAAGAACAAACAGAGAGTTTAGTCACACTGTGTCCCAGATGTCACACAGGCACTTTTATTAACATACAGCGCAGATGTACATGAAAAATTACTCAAAAATAAATTATGAGCATTTATTAAATAATAATGGTCCATAAATAAAACAATGTTGTTTTTGTGCATAACAAAGAGCTCACAACTGTGCAGTCAAACTGTAAACTAACAGACGCTGAGCATAAGAACAAAGGTTTCACAGCTGCTCTGTTCCCAACTTCTACTGCGTGACTGACAGCCTGGAGTTTGAAATCCTCTTTTATAACGTAACATAGACTATATCGATATAAACGATATTGTCACATCTTATATCTCATAGAAAAATATATCGATATTTTTTAAAAAACTCTATATCGCCCGGTCCTAGATGGAGGTTCTTCTTGTTATTACATGAGTCAAACTCTGGCGCCGAGCAATGAAGCCATCACAGTGGCAACAGCTAAAGTTCCTCTAACAGCAGCTTGAGGCTGAATTTGTGATTCCAAACTTCACAGCAGAAATAAACATGCACAGGGGAGTTGTTGGTCTCTGAGTTGTTGTCATGTTGTGTTGTTGGTTTGTTCAGATCGGCTCCGTTGAAACCGTCAAACTGAAGAACAAACGGAGAAAGAAAGACAAGCAAGAGTTCCAACTTGAGGACGGCACAGGCTCCATCTGGATCACTTTGTGGGGCGAAGACATCAAACAGCTCAGAGGAAAATCACCTGGAGACTCTGTCAGGGTGGTCAATGTAAAGACGAGTCACTACTATGATTCAGTATCGCTGAACTCAACAGATTTCACCAGAATTTTTAAGGTAATTTCTGATGCTGGCTTCAGTTTGAAATGTGTTTTATATTTGGTATTGATTCAAAGCAGAGACTGTCAGCTTTGACCTCCTACTGGAACATTTCCTCACTGTTGTTGAGTCTCTGCTCTCTAGTTAATCCAGCCGTACCTGTTCTAAGTGTCCCCACCAGGTGGTTCACTGTGAGGGTCTCCCTGTGGTCCGACAGACCCATCTCCACCATCTTGGACTCCAGCTGGTGACATCAGTCTTTGCTCTGCTCTGTGAGCTGGAGGGTGACTCCAGAACACGTTCATGTGCTGTTACCTGAGTAGAACCAGGACTGTCTGCTGCAGGACAAGATGGTGGATTTGGAGTTCTTCTGCAGGATGAGACTCACTATGACATCATCATTGCTCACTTTCTTAAATAAAAAGTTCTTCAGTTTTATTGGTTCAACATGTCCTGATCTCTACAGTCAATCTGGTGTTTTGCAGGTTCAAAGTGCCACAATTGAGAACGTCACAATCGAGATCATTGGGATCAAAGACGCCAAGAAGACTGAAACAGAGGTGGATGCACAGATCGGCAGCGGAGAGGTGCAGTCCTTTGTGGTGACTTCATCCCTGCTGGCAAAAGCGTTTGGTGTCAGACTGGAGGGCGACTTTGAGGACAGACTGCTGGAGAAAATGCCGTTCTCAGCAGATGTAGAAATAAAGGGAAACAAGATCATGAAGATTGAAGCTAAGGAGAAGTAAAGATGAGTTCCAGTGTTCAGGCTGCAGCTGCAGAGTCTGAACTGGATTCATGACATTTGAAAAATTTGAGTAGATTTTGAGTTTCAATAAAAAATGTAAATCTCTCTTGAATCAGTTTTATATTCTGAATCATGAAATGTGTGCTGTTTCTTTCTTCTTTCCTAACTGGTTATTCTTGATTTTTCTTGTCATCTTTTTTCCTGTGTGTAAGAACTGTACGTTTATATTCATGTTAATTAATCATAATGGCTCTGATGTTGAGGATGGTGGAATGTTTATGTTGGAATAAAAAAGGCTCTGATTTAACTGTTTGTTCTGTAAATCTGTTTACAAAATCCTCCTGTGTCTGATTTCCTGTCACAGGAAAAGCAACAGTCAGCAGTAAAGTGACACAGATCCTCGTGCAGACAGAAAGCAGGGCGAGCACTCGTGGGGCTCAGAGGCAGTGAGCTCAGCTCTGTTGTGTGACTCTTTCCCAGCTCTCTGCTTCCATGGAGTCTCCTCATGGTGCCGGCCCACCGTGGCTTTTCCACCATGAAATATCATTACCATCCTTTATCTCAGTCTTGCTGTGTGTTAAGCTTCCTCCTTTAGTTGTTTTGAGATTAGTCAGGAAGTAAACACTACAAAAGACAATATTCAAAATACAAACATGCAGTTATAACGTAAACTGTGGGACAAACAGTAAAGGAGCAAAACTAGAGGAGAGTGAAGCCGTCAAAGAAATATTCAACCTACAGAGTGGGCCACTTATATGGATACAGCGTAATAACATGGGAATGGTTGGTGATATTAAAGTCCTGTTTGTGGCACATTAGTATATGTGAGGGGGCAAACTCCTCAAGATGGGTGGTGACCATGGTGGCCATTTAGAAGTCGGCCATCTTGGATACAACTTTTGTTTTTTCAATAGGAAGAGGGTCATGTGACACATCACACTTGTTGGTAATGTCACAAAAAAAACAATGGTGTGCTTGGTTTCAACGTAGCTTTATTGATTGATCAATATTGTCTGTATGGACAGCAATTTCCCCCCCAAAAAGTGCACATGTAAAACTGCGGTGTTAAGCGATGCGGTTGAAAAATTTGGGTGGGCCGAAGAAAAAAAAAGTTAGGCGCACCAGTGCAACCGTGGCAAAAAGTTAGTCTAGAGCTCTGCCCTAGAACTCTGTTGCATAATCCTGTCCGCGCCATTCAAGTTCATGTGTCCTGTGTTCACGGTCTGCCGTGTTGACCATAGTTTTCCGTGTTTGTAAATAGTGTTGCCTCATTGTTGTAGATAATTCCCTCACTCACTCCCCTGTAAATAACCAAATCTGTCAGCAGAACAAAACTACAGCAGAAAACAAGTAAAAGTGAGTATTCTGTGAATACTTTATCATCGTTGTACAGCTGGAAAATTCATCTAGTTCAAAGAATTCTTCTTTTGCTCCTTTTTTAAAAAAAAAAAGTGTAGCTCAGTGTGGTGCGAACAGAGAACTTGAACTGAGATTTAAAATCTGAAAGTCAGTGAGGTAATGGATTACTCACCAAAGAGGGATAATGCAGTCCACAAACACCTGCAGCCCACCATGGACAGACCAAAATACAGAGAAGATGAGGCCAACAAAGGTAGATAACAGAAAATATAATGTGCAATATTTATATGCATTACAATTAGAATCTATACATTCATTTCTAAATTGCAGAAGTTGGATACAGAAGAAGTGGCTCTTTATGGATCAGAGTGTTGGGTGCCCACCGCAAGGCACGAAGAGGCTCTCCACACAATGGAAATGCGGATGCTACGATGGTGCCTGGGCCTAAGACGATGTGACCACGTCATGAACATCGACATCCGAAAGCAGCTAGGCATCACGGGGAAGATGCAAGGAGCGTGACTGCGATGGTATGGGCACGTGGTCAGAAGTGACGAGAACTCGATGGCAAGAACAGCACTGCAACTCAGGCCCCAAGGCTGGCGACCAAGAGGCAGACCAAAAAGGCGATGGATGGACCAAATCAAAGACGACGTAAGGAAGATTGGCGCCAACCTGAACAACGCCCTTAAATGGAGGCGGCTTTGCAGAAAAGCGGACCCCACAGTGCAGGAATAACGCTAGGAGGAAGAAGGAAATTTTAAGGTTTGATGAGCACAAACAATTTTATTCTAAAATGATTTAAGAAAAAATGTAAAACAATGGTTTGAAAATAATTTAAACACTAAATTTAAATTAAAAAAGACCCACAGGGGAAAATTGTAAAGAAATTTAAGATCAACATGGCGTGGGGGGCGGAGCCATTAGTGCACATAGCAGAGGTAACGAGGACATCTGTGAAGGCCCCACAGGTCCATCCAGACGACGTCCGCATCACAGCAGCAACACGCTCTATAGGAAAAGAGACATGAAAACATCTGGAGCAACTACGAGCCTCCAACAAGCAGGAGAGGGGAACACTTGACTTTAAAACTACAGCATTTGATCTCAGTTTGAATCATTTGACAATCACTGTGTTCATTTGTTTTTCAGAAAAGAAGAGGAAACAGAGTGAAACTGATTCAGACTCACAGATGAAAAAGACTATCTATCTATCTATCTATCTATCTATCTATCTATCTATCTATCTATCTATCTATCTATCTATCTATCTATCTATCTATCTATCTATCT